AAAACCGGATCAAGGATCACTGGATCACCGGATCAAGGTTCAAGGATCACCGGATCAAGGATCAAGGATCAGTTAAAAATGAATTAAATAAATTAAATAAATAGAATTGGCAAAGGTGAAGGTCCTTCATTTTTTCAGAAGTGATCAAAAGTGTGGGACTAAATTTTCAGCCTGCTGTGCTTCCTGGTGAAAAAGAAAAGAAAAAACAATTCTCCCTCGTTAGTCGTCAGGTACTTTCTTTAAAAAAAGTCACGCAAGACTAAGAACTGATTCAATTTTCCAGAGTGTGTTCTTGAGATTTTCGACTTGTTGCCTCCATGTACACTCCAGGGGACTCACAGCAATAACTCAGTGGGGCGATACAGTTTTCTCACTTTCCGAATCATGTCTCTTTTCAAATCCTGTCGGAAAAACGACTAAACGTCTTCCTCTAAGCAAGTGATTTTTCAGATGCATTCCATTTGCTTTTCTTTTAAGGATATGGGGTCAGTAAAAATTTGGAGAGATGAAGTTAAAGCCGCTGATAATTTGCTGTTCACTCCGGCAGTCGCCAAAAACGGCTTCGTGTTTTGAAATTGCAACGGAAGTCAGAGACGCAATCACATACCGACACTCGAGATATTAGAAATTTCATATTAATGTCGTATATGCACAAGTAAACCCGCTCTGTAGTTGTCAGTCTTCAATAGCAGTCCTAATAATCGGTAGGCGAAAATTGGCATTTCCACAAAGTGGTATGGCTTTTTCAGTATTTAGTATTTTCTCTTATTTTCGCTTTAACATGCGGAAGATCTTGACTGAGTCACGAAGATGAGCAATCAATCATGCCTATTAATTTATTTAATTTATTTAATTTATTTGAACTGATCCTTGATCCTTGATCCTTGATCCTTGATCCTTGATCCTTGATCCTTGATCCTTGATCCTTGATCCTTGATCCTTGATCCTTGATCCTTGATCCTTGATCCTTGATCCTTGATCCTTGATCCTTGATCCGGTAAACCTTGATCCTGTTTTTCCAGGGAACCAGAATTAAGAGCATTTTGTGACCTCAGGGAAGTCAACAAGGCCATTATTAGGGAACGTTATGTACTACCCAAAGTAGATGCTAAGTGTGGTTTCTTTCAGCCTCCGTTAGCTGAAGAATCTAGGTACATTACTACATTCATAACACCAAAAGGTTGCTATAGATTTAAGCGTACTCCCTTCGGTCTTAGTGATACAAGCGAAGCTTTCCAAAAGATGATGGAACAGATTTTGTTTGGAATCGAAGGAGTACAAATATCGATCGACGATGTTATTATACACGCTGCCACGATGGCAGAGCTTGCCGACAGACTCTGTAAAGTTTTCGAACGATGCCGCGCAAGGAACCTTAGGCTCAACCAAAGTAAATGCGAATTTGGCGTTACTAAGATCTCGGTTTTAATTCATGTAGTATCTGCCGACGGTATCAAGCCCGATCCTAAAAAGTGCGAAGCAATCAAAGCTACGTTACCGCCTGAGAATGTATCTGATCTCCGGTCATTTCTCAGAACGTGCGGTTATGTTGCAAAATTCATACTGAACTACGCGAACATCGTGGAACCTCTAGGAAAGCTCACCCGAAGCGAAGAGAAATAGTCATGGGAAGAGAAGCAAAGAGAGGCATTGGAAGCTCTAAAGGAAGCATTGTCTTGTGAGCCCGTTCTCGCATGCTTTCGTCTAAATGCTCCCACGTATGTTATCTCTGATGTTAGTCCAGTAGGCTTAGGAGCTATCCTACTTCAAGTTCAAAACGGAGGCCAAAAAAACCAATTGCTTACTTAAGTCGATCATTGACGCGTACTGAGCGTAGATATTCCCAAATCGAACTTGAGCCGCTTGGATGTGTCTGGGCAGTCGAACGCTTGCACAACTATTTGTTGGGATACAATTTACGCTACTAACTGATGTCAAACCTCTTTTGAGCACGTTCGATCCGTCGTCCAGTAAGGTCCTGCCCCCGCATATTCAACGCTTAGCCTGGAGTCTACATCAGCACAGCTTTAATGTCCCGCATATTCCAGGAAAGCTAACACAGCAGAATCGCTGTCTCGATTACCGTCAAAGTTTGATAACCACTCCGATAGCGGCACTGTTTGCGAGAACTATGTGCGATTTGTGTACAATAGCGACATGCTAGATCTGCAAGCTATCACTCTGTCAGATATGAGGCGCTAAACAACAAAAGATGGCACATTGTCAAAGTTAATTGCACAAATTCAAAGCGCAGAATGTCGCGCGATGATAAATCTAAGCCATTTAAGATAATCAAAGATAAATTATCTGTTTATGAAGGAGCGATTTTGAGAGGGAACCGAATTGTAGTTCTATTTTTATTGCGCAAAAAAATTCTCAAATTATCACACGAAACTCATCAGGGTATTGTGAAAACTAAACAATTTCTTAGGTCGAAATTCTTTTGGCCTGGTATGGACGAAACAATAGATCATGATCAAAAACTGTCGCGCGTATGTTCTGAATCAACCACTGAACAAGTAAACGCCTCTTCAACCTTTAACGTTACCTGGTGGTCCTTGGATAAAAGGCGCAGTAGATAAAGTTGATCCAATTGGCAGGAAATTTATTCTGACCTACAGCGACTACTATTCTTCATATCCGGAAGCGCATTTGTTGCAAGAAATCACTTAAAGCAGTGTCATTCGAGTATTGACGGACATATTTGTTAGATTTGGTTTTCCCGAGGAATTAGTTTCTGACTGAATGGAAAACAATTCGTGCGCGCAGAGTTCGAAGCTTTTCTCAAATCCTGTGGAATTAAACACGCTCGTGTCTCACCCTATTATGCAAAAAGCAATCGAAAACCATAACGTTTTCACAGGTACCTTAAGAAAAATTTCCGAGCTGCCATTTCTGTAGGCAATTCAAGAAAGGGGGAATTACCTAAAATTCTGATGTCTTACCAAGCAACATCTAACATAGTCAAGCCACTCAGAATGACACGAGTGTAACAACCCGGTTCGGACGGACAGTTAAGTTCACAAAGGACCATGAAAACTTTGTATATTACTAAATGCTTTGCAATGTTTAGAAATAATTAATTATGATTTAAATAGTAGCCTAATAACTTTGCCTAGGAAGGATGTAGTGTATTGCGTTACATAATGTCACACAGCGTCACAGCTGTAAGGAACTGCCAATCAAGCCGTAAATCAACTCTCAAAAGTGAAAGTAAAATACCTGATTACGAGTATTGTACGCTAAATACATTGTCTTGATTATTGAATAAAATGCTGTTGAATTAAAGGAATGAGAGTGTTCACCTGACTTATGAGTACTCTACAGACATGATAATGATCAGAATATTTTATACTGTGTACGAGATGTGCAGCGTTTTAAATCCGCATTGCGTAAAAGATTTGGGTCTCTGAAAAGCAATTAATTTTTTTCTTCTCAAAATCACCGGGAGAGATACTGAAAGGATTCTATTCACGCAGTTAAGGCTTTTGGTAGGTGTTAACCTTTTAATAGCGCCCGAAGGAAAAATGTTTGAAGGACAATGAATATTTCTATAAACTAAAACAGAGGATAGCTTTGAAGGCGCGCTCCGAGTGGCTATTCATGACCGATCAAACCTCGAATATCTTGTGTTATTAAATTTCCAACTCCGAATATTCTATTTCTAGTGTTCTGAACTGTTTACTCATCTACGGTTATCAGCCCATATTCAGAGTCACCTTATATGGAAATGCATAGCACCAACCATCGCGGAGCTGAAAGAGTGCTCTAAATATCCAAACGTTTGGATTTAATGAAAAAAATTAATGAAACTAAGAGAATATCGTGTTAATATTCTATTGATAAACAGTCATTCCATTCGCCCCTTTTGGATACGAGATGTTTATAGCTAACTCAGGGCTGCTATTTATCATCTCATATCCAACGCACGCTCCCGAAATAATTGTTAACCTACTATTGACCTCCGAGCAACGCGCGCTGGAATTAAATGAGCTAAAATCATCTTTTTGAGCCATGTTGTCTCACTCTTTCAGTACATTCTAAAACAGATATTCATCTTAGCGTCGACGCTCGCCGCTTCGCAGCTCGGTAAATATCTATCACTAGCCTCCTTCACTTCGGTGAATAGCTATTAACATACTTCAGCCTATTGCATATGCTTGAAGTGGGGGATAGCAGTTTGCACGACCACGACTGCGAAAAAAAGAAGTCGATCTTGACTATCAACTAAACTAAGGTCAATGCTCAACTAAGCAATGTCAAGATTCGAGCCTTCAACTACTCTCGGTAACTAAACTAAGGTTAGCTTTATTATGTTTATAGTTCTTTAGCGCAAAACAACAATCAAACAATGACATCGCAGGATCTGACACCGACCATCAAAATCTGGAGGTGGCATTAAAACAAATACCTTGCTACGGGAAAAATGAAAATAGTTCCTTAATAAATTAAAATGGCTAGGGCGTGGGAGTCAACCAAGAAATGAATAAACAAACAAATGAATGAATATAAAAGTGATGAAATACTCCGCTAGGAATTTATGGCTTCGGTTGGGTTACGTGGAAATTTAATAAGTCAGGTTTTGTAGCTTTATGCGCCTAAATGAGACGAATTGAATAAATTAGAAATTTCTGTTATGAAATGCAGTTATGTTTACACACTTTGAGAATGGACTATTTGGCATGAGAACTTGGGCTTGAGTATCAATTTTACGCACTTCAGCTTCTAGTTAGCTCTGTTCCCATGTTTTTCATTTATTATAGTAATTCAATTTTGAATCCATTAATCACTCTCCCCGTCAATTGCAACTGTTTTGAAATTTCTATGGTTATAACGACTTCCACAGCGGTTCTTTTTAGCTATCACGCCCCCATTAAAGGATCATCCTTTTTGGTTTGTAATGTGACACCCTTGAAAAAGGCTACAGAACAGACTGTAGCGCCTGGGTGAATGGGCTAACAATATAAAAATTTGTGATATTTCATAGGGTCTGACTTAAAATGGCCACTGCACTGGAATACTCTGCAGAGCAATTAAACTTCTACAGAATTTGCTATGTTGTCACCGATGTACTAACAGAGGGCTTGCGAATAATCTTTAAGCAAGAATGGGACAATCGCTACCGGAGAACATGGGGAGAATGGAAAGATCAACCTAACAATGGACTGGACTTTTGGAATGGCGAATCCTCTCGAAACAGAAGCCGAAACGCTCGTCTGCTGAGAACCATGAAAAACGGTGACACAGCTGAATGGGATTGCACCATGCTGTTTTACGCCATTCTTTATTCAGACTGCATCAATCGCCTGAATCCAACTGTTAAATCACCCGTAAATGACCTCAGGAAACTGCGTAATGAAGATTTTGGGCATATGCCGCGAGGACACCTTTCAGAAAAAGATTTCCAAAGTGTGATTTTAAAAGTTGAAAATGCATTTCTTGCACTCGGTCTTCCCACACAGAAAATCCATGATATCCAAACTCAAACAAGTTTCCCAACGGAAGAATTGACAAATATCTTGAAGAAGGTGGACGATCTTAATCAAGACGTTCGAGAGAAGGAGAAGAAACTTCAAGAAAAAGATAATGAACTTCTCGAGAGGGATAAGGAGCTGCTAGAAAAAGAGGAGCAGCGACAGGTCCTTGATCAGCAGCTTCTTACAAGTGTGTCTCCCTTTTGTATTCTTCCCCCAAAACCTACACACGAAGTCACTGACCGCGATTCTGAGGTTAGTAAAATTGCCCAAGAGCTGAGAGCCCTTAGATGTGCCAATAATGATGTTCTAACCACCTTGTATATATCTGGAAATCCGGGAAGTGGAAAATCTCAGCTGGCCCGTTTGGTAGCCAAGCGATTTTACGACGAAGTCAAAGAAAATCCTTACACGACTTCATTTGTTATGACCCTGAATGCTGAAAATTCAGAAACGCTTTTGGAATCCTATGTCGTTTTCGCTCGACACTGTAAATGTCCAGAGTATGCAGTTACAAACACTCTCAACTCCACAGACCTATGTGCAGACGAAAAGATTAGAAGGCTTAAAACGCTGATAGGCGCGAGAATTTCTTACTTTACGTCATGGCTGCTGGTAGTCGATAACGTCTCTAATGTCTCTCAAATACCTGGACACTTACCAGATGCAGGAGACGAACAGTGGGTAAGAGGCCAGTTGCTGATAACAACGCAAGACGCTGTTTCTATTCCTTTCAAAAATTCTGCGGTCCAGCATGTTCCAGTCAGCAAAGGAATGCATCCAAACGATGCCCATTCATTGTTAACACTCCTGTCAGGAGTGAATGATGGCGAAATGGAAGATAAAATTGCACAGGCATTAGACTATCAACCTCTTGCCTTAGCGAGTGCCGCAATTTATGTGCGAGAAGTTCGACAGAGTAAAGTATCTGGTAACTTTGGCTGGGGCGACTACCTGGAGAAAGTTGCAGGCGGTCAACGAAGTAGAACAGAGACTATCCTTATTGAGACAAATCCAAGCTACAAGAAGTCCATGACAACAGCAATAACACTTGCAGTGCAAAAAGCGATGACGACCGACAGAGTTATTAATCACCTGTTCACTTTTCTTGCTCTTTGTTCACCTCAGCCAATACCTCAAGACGTCGCTGTCAATTACATCATGGAAATGGATGAAGAATTTACTGATAAAGAGTGGATTGCATCGAGGATAAATCGATGTTCATTGTTATTATCTGAAGAAGAAGGAGACAGCGTCTATATCCGAGTACATGGAGTCGTTCGTTATGTACTTGATTGTTTAAAAGCAAATTATGCAAAGCATTTATGCATCAAAGCTGTCGTTGGGGCTGTTGCATCCTTCGCTAAGTTCGATGACTTAGATACCTTTATCATCGGCTCAAAAATTGTTCCCCACCTAAGAAAATTGATCTTGAAGGCCAAGTATCTGTTTTCTAAACAAGAATTATCTCAAATCAGCAAAGCGGGTGTTACATCCTTGCAAGATTATCTTAATGGCTTTCCGATCCTTGGTAATATGTGCTTACACCATTGTGAATACGAAGCCGCAATGAACTACTTCGAAGTGGCCTTGGAAATTACACACTTAAATGACACAAGCGACTCTCTAGGAAAAGCTAAAATCTACCTCTTGATAGGAACCACACACAAATGTAAGGGTAACTTAGAGGAAGCGAGGAGCTACTCTGCTCATGCACTAAACATTCGTCTGAATCAGCTCAGGCCTGACCACGTAGATGTCGCAGCTTCTTACAATAACCTGGGTACTGTATACAGTGATCTGGGTGATTTCCAGAAAGCAAAGGACTACCATGCACGTGCACTGGACATTCGTCTGAAACAGCTCGGACCAGACCATGTAGATGTCGCAGCTTCTTACCATAACCTGGGTACCGTATACAGTGATCTAGGTGATTTCCAGCAAGCAAAGGACTACCATGCACGTGCACTGGACATTCGTCTGAAACAGCTCGGACCGGACCATGTAGATGTCGCAGCTTCTTACCATAACCTGGGTACTGTATACAGTAATCTAGGTGATTTCCAGCAAGCAAAGGACTACCACGCAAGTGCACTGAACATTCGTCTCAGACAGCTCGGACATGAGCATGTAGACGACGCAGCGTCTTACGATAACCTGGGTTCTGTATACAGTTATCTAGGTGATTTCCTGTTAGCAAAAGACTACCATGCACATGCACTGGACATTCGTCTGAAACAGCTCGGACCCGACCATGTAGACCTCGCAGCATCTTATTATAACCTGGGTACTGTATACAGTGATCTAGGTGATTTCCAGCAAGCAAAGGACTACCATGAACGTGCATTGGACATTCGTCTGAAACAACTCGGACCTGACCATGTAGATGTAGCAGCTTCTTACAATAACCTGGGTACTGTGTACAGTAATCTAGGTGATTTTCAGCAAGCAAAGGGCTATCATGCACAGGCACTGGAAATTCGTCTGAAACGACTCGGACCTGACCATGTTGATGTGGCAGCTTCTTACAATGACCTGGGTACTGTATACAGTAATCTAGGTGATTTCCAGCATGCAAAGGACCACCATGCACGTGCACTGCACATTCGTCTGACGCATCTCGGACCTGAACATGTTGATGTGGCAGCTTCTTACAATAACCTGGGTACTGTATACAGTTATCTAGGTGATTTCAAGGAAGCAGAGGTCTACCATGCACGTGCATTGGACATTCGTCTACAACAGCTCGGACCTGAGCATGTGGGTGTCGCAGCTTCTTACCATAACCTAGGAACTGTATATAGTTATTTAGGCGATTTCCAGCAAGCAAAGGACTACCATGCGCAAGCACTGGACATTCGTCTGAAACAGCTCGGACCTGACCATGTAGATGTCGCAGCTTCTTACAATAACCTGGGTACTGTATATGGTGATCAAGGTGATTTCCAGCAAGCAAAGGACTACCATACACGTGCACTGGATATTCATTTGAGACAGCTTGGACCTGAGCATGTGGATGTCGCAGCTTCTTACAATAACCTGGGTAATGTATATAGCGATCTGCGTGTTTTCCAGCAAGCAAAGGACTACCATGCACGTGCTCTGGACATCCGTCTGAAGCAGCTCGGACCTGACCATGTGGATGTTGCAGCTTCTTACCACAACCTGGGTATTGTGCATGAAAATCTGAGTGATTTTCAACAAGCAAAAGACTACCATGGACGGGCACTGGATATTCGTCTGAAACAGCTTAGACCAAATCATGGAGATGTCGCAGCTTCCTACCACAATCTGCGTACTCTATACCCTGATCTAGGTATTTACCAACAAGGAAAACACTACCATGCACGTGGCCTGGACATTCGTCGGAAACAGCACAAACTGGAGCATGTAGATGTGGCAGCTTGTTACAATATCCTGGGTATTGTAAACAGTGATCTAGGTGATTTACAGCGAGGAAAGGACTACCATGCACGCGCACTGCACATTCGTCTGAATCAGCTGGGACCTGACCACGTAGATGTTGCGGTGTCTTGCAATAACCTGGGTACTGTATACAGAAACCTAGGTGATTTCCAGCAAGCAAAGCACTACCATGCACGTGCACTGGACATTCGTCTTAAACAACTTGGACCTGAGCATGTAGATGTCGCAGCTTCTTACAACAACCTGGGTACTGCATATAGTGATCTAGGTGATTTCCAACGAGCAAAGGATTACCATGCACGTGCACTGGACATTCGTCTGAAACAGCTTGAACCTAACCATGTAGATGTTGCAACTTCTTACCACAACTTGGGTACTGTATACAGTTATCTAGGTGGTTTCCAGCAAGCAGAGGACTACCATGCACGTGCACTGGAGATTCGCCTGACACGGCTCGGACCTGAGCATGTAGATATCGCAGCTTCTTACAATAACCTGGGTACTGTATACAGCTATGTGAGTGACTTCCAGCAAGCAAAAGACTACCATGTGCAAGCACTGGACATTCGTCTGAAACAGCTCGGACCTGACCATGTAGATGTTGCAGCTTCATACCACAACCTTGGTACTGTATATATTGATCTAGGTGATTTCCAACAAGCTAAGGGCTACCATACACGTGCACTGGACATTCGTCTGAAACAGCTCGCACCTGAGCATGTAGATGTTGCAGCTTCTTACAATAATTTGGGTACTGTATACAGTGATCTAGGTGATTTCAAGGAAGCAAAGGACTACCATTTACGTGCACTGGACATTTTTGTGAAACAGCTCGGACCTAAGCATGTAGATGTTGCAGCTTCTTACAATAACCTGGGTACTGTATACAGTTATCTTGGTGATTTCCAGCAAGCAAAGGACTGCCATGCACGTGCGATGGACATTCGTCTTCAACAGCTCGGACCTGACCATGTAGATGTTGCAGCTTCTCACAATAACCTGGGTACTGTATTTAGAAATCTAGGTGATTTACAGCAAGCAAAGCACTCCCATTCACGTGCACTGGACATTCGTCTGAAACAGTGTAGACCTGAACATGTAGATGTCGCAGCTTCTTACAATAACCTGGGTACTGCATACAGTGATCTAGGGGATTTTCAGCAAGCAAAGAACTACCATGCACGTGCACTGGACATTCGTTTGAAGCAGCTTGGTACTGCGCATGTAGATGTCGCAGCTTCGTACAATAACTTGGGTACTGTATACAGTTATCTGGGTGATTTCCAGCAAGCAAAGAAATACCATACACGTGCTCTGGACATTCGTCTTAAGCAGCTTGGACCTGACCATGTAGATGTCGCAGCTTCTTACAATAATCTGGGTACCTTACACAGTGAGCTTGGTTATTTTCAGCTAGCAAAGGACTACCATGCACGTGCACTGCACATTCGTCTAAAGCAGCTCGAACCTGAGCATACTCGTGTTGCAGCCTCTTACCATAACTTGGGTACTGTATGCGGATATCTAGGTGATTTCCGGCAAGCAAAGGACTGCCATGCACGTGCATTGGACATTCGTCTAAAACAGCTTGGACCTGGGAATGTAGATGTCGCAGCTTCTTACAATAACCTGGGTACTGTATGCAGAAATCTAGGTGATCTCAAGGAAGCAAAGGACTATCATGCGCGTGCACTGGACATTCGTCTGAAACAGCTCGGACCTAAACATACTCGTGTCGCAGCTTCTTACAATAACCTGGGCAATGTATACAGTGATCTAGGTGATTTCCAGCAAGCAAAAGACTACCATGCACGTGCACTGGATATTCGTCTGAAACAGCTCGGACCTAATCATCTTAAAGTTGGAAAAACGTATGAAAATATTGGTGATGCTTACAATGGTCAGGGTCACGATGAGCAGGCTAAAAGAAACTATGATCGTGCTTTGGTGATTTATGTTCGAAGCCTTGGGGCTGAACATGTTCAGGTTAGAATTATTCAGAATAAGCTGACCCAGCTATAGCAGAATACGTGCAGATATAGACACGCGTGTTTGTTCTGTAACTTATACAATGTTTTGAAGGAATTGGATAACACGTGTCAAGCTCAGACACCTCAACGTTCAATATATTTCATGGATGTATACATTCTTTCATGCGAACTTCAAGACTAATTAATAACTATCTTCGTTATCGATACGATAAGGTTAATTAATATGTAACCAACATTTTTTTGAAATATCGCTTAGTTTAATGGCTTTCGACCGTAAGCATTACTAAGGATTTCTTCTCTTATTTCAAGCGTTTAGACATCTTTGAACTCTGAGGAGTAAGACTTCGACTACTTATCGTTGTAAGACATTTAGTACTTATTTCAAAACCACAATGCGATTGATCGGATCTCGTCATTTTCCTAAGTTTTGGAGAAGTCAAAGTTAACTGAAGCGAACGCCCGTCATGACGATTTTCATTATCTTCAGTGGGACATTTTATATACCAGGGGAGATTTTCTGTTATAGAAGAAGATACAGAAGATATTTTTAATTTTGTAGTTTAATTTTTTTGTCACAGTAACCTTTTCGCATCCACATGACAAAACCCCTCTCACTAAGAAATCTCTGGAGATTAGAATGTCTGCCATCAGTGTTACTCTGTAAAGGTTGGATATTTAATTTGACTTCTTGTCCAATTTGGTCATTTACCTGAAAATAAAATCGGAGTCATTGCAAAAAAATAGGTAAAAGATACGTTGGTTCGTCCAGCGATCACATTCCAGGAAATGTTGATGGTCCTGATCAATTTAATCATTTGTAAACATAAAATCCATTATGTTTTCGTAAGTAACATCTGAGAGCGCTAAGCTACCCATGCTTGTATCAATTACATAAACATAAAATCTTTTCTTGCAGTGTTTGTTCACTACATCTGAAACACCGTTTCTGTGTTGTGAAAACGGTACCAGAAAAATTACAAAAACAAACAAACACACAAAACTTTAAAATCGATATTCTTGGTAAGCTTTGTAGTTAATTCAAATGCTTCAGTAAGTTTAATTGATATTCCTCGAATGGCCATTTTGGAAAAAGTTTAGTTGTACTCACTGATACACTTTTGGTGATAGAACATAAAATCTCCTTTAGAGTACTGTGGTGGTGATAGGTCAACCCTACTCAATTTCGCCATTTCCGAGAATCGCGCTATTGAGAATAAACAAAAAAAAAAACAAATAAACACACGATAAAGCATTCAAATATCTAGTTTTTGGAACTAGTTAAGTAGTATTATCTGATTATTGTGTTTAGCGATTTGTCAATGAAGATATTTGAAGGAGAAAGCGTTAGGAACTCAAATATGAATATTCCTGTCCTTTCTAAGAACGGAGAGGCCTTGTGAAGAACCAGCATCATAAAAAAAAAGAGCAAGAAAAACAAATTAAAAAAAAAATTGGCAAATTAGAGTTTAACCTGCGACAATTCCAACGTAACTGAATGCGTTTATTTTACGAAGTTCGACAGGTAAATCAAAACCAGCCCAAAGCTATTTTGGTTAGCTGAAATGTCAAGAACAGCCGGCTTGATGTGAATTTACTATGATTTTTTAAAGGAAAGGCCATTTCCGTTCTCAAGGTTCAGAGATCTGGAGCCGAAATTAAGGCGCATGAACGAAGCTAAGTGGGAAGTCGATCTTATCGGTATGAAGGATGGACACGCAAGCGCCGTGCTGGTGAAAATGAGTAAAGATTTGAAATTCAAATGTGGAAGAATCACAAATTACATGCGTTGAGCGATGGCGGCTAAGGAAAGAAAAAAACAGAACTGGTCGATTGATGTAAGGAAGCTGCGGCAATGAAACGGATAAAACTCGTAAGGAAGAACGTTTTGAGTCCATTTCATTTAAGATTGCGTGATTCAGCAGCAAGGTATTATCTCGAATTTCAAAATCCTGTAGTTTTGAGAAAATTCCGAGACCGTCCCATAAAACCTTTTTAAGCAGAATTTTCCTATACCATTAATATTGGTAATAAGAGTGAGTGGATTCCAATTCGGTCTGTAATCATACGAGTGATTGACAAAATCGGACGACCGCGAAAGGGGAGTCCGATTTGTTAACGCGTTCTGTCCACGTGGTCTCTTTAACTGTCCCATTACACTGTCCAATTACAAGCATGACGCATGCACTGTTCTATTAGTGCTCAAATGGGGCTGGTGACAACCAATCACGTTCAAAAATTTTGTTATAGTTTTGGTTAGCATGATTATGGCGATCGCCATGCTTAGCATGCTGTTTTAAAATTCAATTTTTTGGTGGGCATGTGTGAAGTTGGTTCGACTACAAAAATGGAAAGTTGGTTTTTGAGCGCTCTGAAGGTAATCGATGAGAGCTTAGAAAAACAGTCACCAATCACCCTAAATGCAAGAAGTGAAGACGGCAAATGGCACATGTGAAACGTCAAGTAGCTGTTTCCCGTTTGCCGTAAGCTGAAATACCGGATCGATTGTTTACATTCTTTGGGTAATCAAATATTTATCCCATTGCAACAATGTCGCCCAGACATATTTGCTTTTGCCAAAAATCAACAGATACTTCCGTAATATTAGGAAAAATTCTAGAATTTACTTTCATTCTGGAAGAAATAAGTACTTGGACTTTATTTCTGACCGGTGAGCTGATTTAGGAGCTGGTCCCAAATATAGCTAAGTCATCATAGATGAATAACTTTTCTCCTTTGACCTTTAGATTTTCCCCGTTTTTTTATTAATTGAATCAATGTATCCATCAACAAACATTGTTCCAAATAAAGGGCAACTTCTGGATCGAGGTAACATTGAAGATATCAGGCAAGCAAAACGACCGCCGAACATCGAGATAACCTGTAATCAAAATCTGTCATCTCCCATATTTTTTCCAATAAATGTGAAGAAAAAGGGTAGATCTTTTTATCTAATTCAAGAGATTTTAGGAAATCTTTACGACAGGACTGGAGTCAAAGGTATAAGAACACCTTCGATACGCCGTGTTGGCGGGAAAGGATGGGCGTACTTGGTCGGCTTAATCGATTTTTTGCCGAGCAAAAGCAACTGGAACTTTTTAATACCCATTATGTGCCCAGGACACTAAAATTAGCCTTCATGCCAAATTTCAGCCAAATCATCAAGGTTAAGTGGCCGCAATTTTTTTAAAAAGTTCGAAACTTACATACCATTTCTCTTAAATATGGAAAAAGGAATAAATACCTGAAATATTTTTTCGTTACTCGCTCATTTCGATTCAGATCGAAAGGCTTAAAACGTCAATGAATTCATTTACAGTAGGTCTGTATACAGCTGTTCCAGATCATTATCCTAAAATTAACTTTCTTAAGAAAGCGGTTTCCATGGCCATTCATTTCAAGTCAATATGGACGACATTCATAGACGTCTGTGCTAGATATGACGTCAGCAAATGCGCCTTCAGCCAGTTTTACACTTTCATAAATGTGATCGACACGGTATGAATCACGAACATAATAGCAGCGTTTATAGTAACATTGTTAGTTTTGAGAACAGAACGAACACTGACATTCCCTACCCTCCCCCCTTAAGAAATCTTTAGGGGGGAGGGGTCTCCAAAACGGTGGGGAATGAAGGAGGTTATTAGAGGTTATTAAAAAACTCAGTAAGAATGTCCAGCTTTAAAAGATACCGCACCAGTAAACATTTTTTTTGATTAAAAAACTTAGTAACTGAGTTTTTTAAGAGAGTGGGGAGGCAATCGGCTTATAAAAGGGTGAGAGGGAAGGAGCATTTTAAACTATTATTGTTTATCTCAATACAGAGTGAGCACGGAGAAAGGAAGACAGTAAGTGAGTTATTTTGGACAGCGTCTTTGTTTGTTTGTTTTCTTTCTTTTTTCACTACTTCTCTTTCATTTAATTTTTATGTATATGGTTCCATTCATTTTAATGAATATGATAAGCTTGACCATTTGCATGATTATTTTGGTCGCTGTAGCTGATGTGAGACATCGGATGCACTTGCTTCATTTGCCAAATATCCAAGTACATAAAATAAACACAAATTCAAACAGCCAAGGTGTTATTGATCCCTCTCGTTATTTTTACTTTTATTATATTAATGACAGTAATAATCCAATTGAATACAGCATTTATATTATTATCAAATTACTAACAAAAATTTTTTTCCAATCAACCTCTATGAGCTCAATGGTGCTATTATAACTTGCACCTTCTTTGATATGCCAATTTATCAATTTGATACTAAAACTTCACTCACTTAAGTTTTCATATCCTATACAAGCACATAGGTTACTATTTTTGTTTTTTACAAGGGTCAACTTGTTAGATAATTCAATGAGTCAGAAAGCATGCATTTTCTGAACTCTGCAGGAAATATGAAGAAAAACCTGGTATTGTTCTTATAATGAAGCACCTAATGAAGCAGGAAAAATGAGCAAACATTAAATCAAAACTCTTGAAAACCACTTTTGAATTTCTTGTCACGGTATATTCTAACAGACAGAAAGAATGCTACACTACTACAAACCGAACTACGTTGTTAAACAATGTGTGAAAATGGTTACTAACAAGCTACTCCTTTAGGCAATACAGTGATTATCTTCTACAAACCACTACAGACTGTACCTTCGTTCTCCACTGACACAAACTTATTGTTTTTTCCCAATCTCTTTTAAATGCGCAATCTCTGAAGTACAACACAGAAACTCTCTCTCTCTCAGTTTAGCTTGAAACACATAATTACTCCTAGATTACTGAATTCTTGAAACGTATTTTAGAACATTCCGCAAGCCTACAACACTAAACTTCTGGTAGAATGGCATCATAGTTACACAACCTCTAAGTCACTATGAAAAGGCATTCTAGAAACTAATATTTGATGATGACTTCCCATAACAATTCTTGGTATTACATCCTCTCATCTTAAGTCAACGAACACAATTCAATTACTTAATTCTGCCTTTAATGTGCTTCCCAACTCCAGCTGTCTTAATCTGCCCTCAAAAGACTCCTCGTAGCAGATGTCTTAAAGGATCCCAACCAACCACATGGGTGTTTTTGTTTAGGTGAGGGAGGCTGAAACTTCTCGTGACTGTAGACACGATCCATAAGATGATGTCACTGATTATGTGAAGTGGCCATGGAGACCACATAAGTCATGGATATGAAACACTAACTCATAAACCATTAAAACATCAATTAAATTGTCTAAATCTGAAAACTTATAGCTTATCGTTAGAAAAAAATCGTTTTGTCGGGGATTTTTTTAAAGACAGCTTAAGATCGAGTGAAATTTGGTTTAACTAAGCAACGCACACTGATTGGTTCACTATAACTAAGTCCTCCTTTACATCTAAATAGACACAAAGTTAACAAAACAGTTTTTTTTTTCTATCTTAAGTATCTTATATGCTTAATAAAAAACAAATGACGAGATTACCGAGTTCTAATTGCCATTTCTTCTTGTTAAATTGCTTAAAATTTATAAAAATTTCCTCGAATTTAACTGCCTACAGTTTTGTGTCCTCTTCAAAAGTGTGTTCTTCATCGACAGCTTCGGTAGCCGAAGGTGACTTTTGACGCATTCATCTTGATTTTTCCCTTTTTCTGTTAAAAAAACAAAACAAAACAAAACAAAGCAAAACAAGGAAAAGAAAAGAAATGTTCAATCGCTATTATCTTGCAAAATAATTATTTATGTAAAAAGCCCCGTTCTGTCATTTAATCAGTCAGTCCATCAGTCAATGAAATAAACTATCAATCAATGTTTCGGTTGGCTGCTAAGTTGGGCACATAGTTAGCCAGTCAGTGAAACAGTTAATCAGTTGTTCTGACGATTGCTCAGCATTCGTTTGGTCAGTCAGTCAAGTAGTCAGTTAGTTGGTTTATCAGTTGCTCACTCATTTTTGTCAGTAATTCGGTCAGTCCGTCCGTCAGCTAGTTAATCAGTGAGTAAGGAAGTTAGTGAGTCAGTTAGTCAGTGAGGTAAGTCCGCTAGCGACAGTCACTCTTTCAACCGTTTAGCCAGTAGGTTAAGGAGCTAGCTAGTTTGCAAATAAGTCAGTAATTCAAATAATTCAGCAGTTAGTTTGTCAGTGACAACGTCCGTCAACTTTGTTAAACGGACAGTTTATATCTCTGGAGGAATTTGAACCTGTGTATATCCCCCTTCTCACCACTTACTTCTTTTCGGTGGAATGCCTGAATTTACCGTCCCCTTTTTTCAAACTCTTGTTCCGTTTTCCTAACATTAAAACAAACAAAGTAAACATTACATATTTGATAAGGTACTTAATGCGCTGTGGCAACTGCTTAACTTGATGAAACTGGTTAACGACACTCTAAATGTAAGAAAAACACAAATAAATAGATAACTGTAGGGTAATCCGCGAGGTAATGCTGGAGAAATAAACCGAATTGGCTGCTTTCGTTTTGCTTTGTTGGTTTGTTTGCTGTTGCTGCTTTTTTTACCGAGGTATTCCAAATAAATTCGCAACAAAATTTGTTTTTTTGATGAAAGGGTAAATAAAGGAAAAATTGAATAAAAATAAGAAAGAAAAAAGTGGAAGTAATTATTACATGAAAAACTGTTTTTTTTTACTTCCTCTTTTCTTTTCTGTCAAGGTTCATCAACATTCACAACGGAACATTGCACTTTTTTGCAAAACAAGCCCAAAGCGAAATTAAAAACAGATAATAAAAACCGAAATACGCTGCTTTCGTGGTCGTGACATTGCATTTACCAGGTATCAAACACTTGTGATGTGACATATAATCGACAGATGTCAAACTTAGGAATTTTTTCATTGCTTTGTATTTTTTATTTTTTGTTCGACTTTTACTTGAAAGAATTGCTCAAGAATTTTAAATCTCGCAAATAAGAATTACTTGAATCTATATTGAACTTGATTTTTTCAAACTTATTGGCGTTCATTTTGGCCGCAACCTGTTACGCAAAATCTCAACTTATTACGCCCAAATTTCGCTCATTTGCATCAAAAATTTTCTTTCTTAGTCCTGTTTAAGGATAATTGAAATTCTTTGATTTGACCAGCAGTTGTAGTGGTAAGAAAGCCGGCTGTGAAATTAAAAGTGACTTTATTTAGGGCTTGGCAATGCCTAAGGGAGGTAATGAGATTCTGAACTGATCGATATGCAGGAGAACTTAACAGTCCTTAGAAGGTTTGTCCATTTCCGATAGAGTAACACTGGATGAGTTGTCAAACAAAAAAAGAATAGGGACCAATGTTGTAAAAGAAAAAAAAGGCTGGTTATACATTTTTTAAAAAGAAGGTAAGACAAGTTACCTTGATTTAGATCAGTATACTCAATAGGTGCCGGTTCGATTTTTTCGGCTTCATCAAGTCCTCCTTGAAAGGAAGAGGTAAACACTATCATTCTTTCTGTTTTAAACTAATGAAAAATATTGTACCTCATTTTCCATTATCTAAGTATTAGTGATTGTTTCAGAATTAAGTTAGACTATTTTGTTTTTCTTTATTTCAAATAGTGACAGTAACTGAAGACAAAATAACAAAGAAACTTTTCAAAACTTTTAAACCTAACAAAATTGTGTTAGAACACGAGATCCGTAGAATTTAGAACTAACGTAATGAACGATGAAGGTTGGATAAATATAATGATGTAAATGAACTTTATTGATTTGTATGTACGGAAATATCCATCTGTCCCAGATCCCTCCAGAAGTAGAAAACAAAATAAAAACTACCATTAATACAACATATTGTGGAGTCTTGGCAATACAAACTAAAAGAACAGCAATGAAAACTTCAGTACAGAACTTCTATTTATATAAAGATGACATTAGAGAAGAAACTTTAGCCTACCCTGTTGTGGATGACGCACATCAACATGAGCCAGTTCGATAACTACACCCTCGACTTCCCCTTGTAAAAAATAGTAAATAAAAAATATAGTCAGACATTGCCACTGTATTGTCATTCACAATTTTCATGATGTCCGTACTGTGTTCACTAGAAGGAAAAAATGCCTTACCTCCAAAGCCGCCATGAAGTTCAATGTCTTCCATGCCCTGTTGGTTCAGTTGTTCTCCATCTCCTTGGCCTTTTTAAAGAAAGCAAAGAAAAAAAATTTGTGAACAAGCCAGGAAACAAATAAGAGATAGAACAAATGATTTTTTGTAACGAACGCAGAACGAGATCTACAGTTTCAAACTATGAAAACGTAATAGACAAAAAAGGTTGGGTAATTAAAGTGATAATAGTAAACTTTATTTGTGTGTATGAAAATATCCTAAAACCAAAGATCCTTCAGTTTAAACTAGACATTGAATTAGAAACTATAGCCTTACCCTGTTGTGGATGATGCACACACACACTTGCCAGTTCAATTTCTTGACCCTCAATTTCTCCTTGAAAAGAGAAAGTAGATAAAAATGTACACAGACTAACCCTGCGCCCTTGTTTGAACCTTTTATGATATGTTAACTGACACCTGAAAGGTTTTTACCTCCCTCGCCCCCATGTTCTTCATTGTCTTCCATTCCGTGCTGGTTAATGTGCTCTCCCTCTCATCTTTTTTCTACTCTCATTTTTCAAGGAGAAATTGAGGGCGAAGAAATTGAACTGGCAAGTGTTGGTATGCATCATCCACAACAGGGTAAGGCTAGAGTTTCTATTTGAATGTCAAGTTTTTAATGCTATTCTGTTAGTTTATATTGTACCTCTGGTGATTTGGTAATGTGTCCTCTGTAACTGAAGGATCTTTGACTTTAGGATATTTTCATACACACAAATAAAGTTTATTATTATCATTTTTATTACCCAACCTTTCTCGTCTATTACGTTTTAATTGTTTAAAATTGTAGATCTCGTTCTGCGTTTGTTACAAAAAATCCCTTCGTTCTATCTCTTATTTGTTTCCTGACTCGTTCACGATTTTTTTCCTTTGATTTCTTTGAAAAGGCCAAGGAGATGGAGAACAACTGAACCAACAGGGCATGGAAGACATTGAACAACATGGCGGCTTAGGAGGTAAGACATTTTTTCCTTATAGTCAATGACAACACAGTGGCAATGTGACAACAACAGTGACTATATGTTTTATTTACTATTTTTTTCAAGGGGAAGTCAAGGGTGTAGTTATCGAACTTGCTCATGTTGATGTGCGTCATCCACAACAAGGTAGGCTAAAGTTTCTTCTCTGATGTCATCTTTATATAAATAAAAGATCTGTTAGTTTATATTGCCAAGACTCAACAATATGTTGTATTAATGGTACTTTTTATTTTGTTCTCTACTTCTGGAGGGATCTGGGACAGATGGATATTTTCATTCCCACAAATCAATAAAGTTAATTTACATCATTATAGTTATCCAACCTTCATCGTTCATTACGTTAGTTTTAAATTCTATGGATCTCGTGTTCTAACACAGTTTTGTTAGGTTTAAAAGTTTTGAAACGTTTCTTTGTTTTTTTGTCTCCAGTCATTATCTGAAATAAAGAAAAACAAAATAGACTAACTTGATTCTGAAACAATCACCAATACTAAGATACATAGAAAATAAGGTACAACATTGTTGATTAGTTCGAAACACAAAAGAATGACAGTATTTACCTTTCTTGTTTCAAGGAGGACTTGATGAAGCCGAAAGAATCGAACCGGCACCAACTGGGTATGCTGATTCAAATCAAGGTAACTTGTCTTACCTTTATTAAAAATCTATAGCTTATCAATTGGTCGCTATTCTTTGTTTGTTTGACAACTCATCCAGTGTTACTGTATTAGAAATGGACAAACCTTCTAAGGACTGTTAAGTTCTCCTGCGTATCGATCAGTTCAGAATCTCATTACCTCCCTCAAGCATTGCCAAGCTCTGAATGAAGTAACTTTAAATTTCTCAGCTGGCTTTCCTACCACTACTACTGGTGGTAAAATCAAAGAATTTCAATTATCCTCAAACAGAACTAAGAGATGAAATTTCTTATGCAAATGAGCGAAATTTGGCCGTAATAAATTGAGATTTTGCATAACAGGTTGCGGCCAAAATGAACGGCAATAAGTATGAAAACATCAAGTTAAGTATAGATTCAAGTAATTCTTATTTGCGAGCTTTAAAATTCTTAAGCAATTTTTCAAGTAAACGTCGAACAAAAAATAAAAAAACAAACGAACAAACAAAACAAAAACATTTAAGAAATCCTTAAGTTTGACATCCATCGATTATGTGTCGTATTACAAGTGTTTAATGCCTTGCCAAAGGCAATTTCACGACCACGAAAGCAGCGTATTTCGGGATTTTTTACCCGTTTTTAATTTGGCTTTGGGTTTGTTTCGAGAAGAGCAATGTTCTGTTGCAAATTTTGATGAGCCTCGACAGAAAAGAGGAAGTCATCAAATATGCCCGATGCCAATTTTTTTTGGCAAAAAAATGTTTTTCCATGTAATAATTACTTCGACTTTATTATTCTATCCTCTTCGTTTCGCCTACGTCTTGGAAAAATTTTTAAATTTTTTGGCTTTTTTAAAAATTTTTTCCTTTATTTGCTGTTTCATCAAATGAAACAATTTTGTTTTGCAAATTTATTAGGAATACCTCAGTAAAAAAAACAGCAACAACAAAAAACCAACAAAACAAAACAAAAGCAGCTGATTGGTTTTATTTCTCCAGTATTACCTCACGGATTAACCTAGAGTTCTCTATTTATTTGTGTCTTTCTTACATTTAGAGTGTCGTTAACCAGTTTCATCAAGTTAAGCAGTTGCTACAGCGCTTTTAGTACCTAATCAAATATGTAATTTTTTTACTTTTTTCTATTAATGTTAGGAAAACGGAACAAGAGTTTGAAAAAAGGGGACGGTAAATTCAGGCATTCCACCGAAAAGAAGTAAGTGGTGAGCAGCGGGATATACACAGGTTCAAATTCCTAGAGAGATAGAAACTGTCCTTATAACAAAGTTGACGGACGTTGTCAGTGACGAACTAACCGCTGAATTATTTGAATTACTGGTTTATTTCCAAAGTAGTTAGCTTCTCAACCTACTGGCTAAAAGGTTGAAAGAGTAACTGTCGCTAGCGGACTTACCTCACTGACTAACTGACTCACTAACATCCTTACTCACTGATTAACCAGCTGACGGACTGACTGACTGAATTTCTGACAAAAATGACTGAGCAGCTGATAAACCAACTAACTG